ACCAGAATTACAAACATATGGCTGTATGATATTTTTAATCGACAACTCTATCTTTTTGTCAGTGACCTGATTTTCAAGAGAATAAGTTTGAATAGTCTGTGAGATTGGATAAACTAATGCAGCATCCAATGAAAAATACTTATAAGCTGTATTAATGATTCGACATGAAAAGTCCCGCATATCACTAGGATTATCCAAAGCATAGCCATTACATAATTGTAGACGGTCAACACAAAATTGATAATTATTATACTCTGAACAAACTTGGTTTTTATTGCAAAGATTTTGACCTGCTTTACATTTCGTGTCATTCGAACAATGAGATCTGTTCGTTTGAAAGTACTGAAATTCATCAGGTGATGCTCCAAAACAAGCGACGGTTTCATTAATGATTTGACCGGCTGGTAAACACATTTGTGTATAATTCTGTGACGAAGTACAGAAAAAGAAATGTCTTAATATAATTGGTTTCATACAATGTTTTTCATCCTCTCCATTAAGACAATTTCGAAAACCATCACATCGTGTGTAGATATTATTGCATTGCCAATCTTCACAATCAGTTTCATCGGAATGATTTCGTCCATTAATCAACGCCATGGGCAAATCTATGATTCGATCACATACTTTATAAAATGGAATATCATCATAATTTATTTGTATTGGAAAAGAGCAGATACTTGTTGGAAAAAAGCGTGATCGACACTGTTTCTCGTCTGGACATTGAAATCGAGAGGTTTGATTTAATGAACAACTTAACTCAAATGCTTGTTCATCATCTTTCAAGAAGCAATCTGATATACCGTCAAGAATTCGATGTTTAGAAATATATTTCGTCGAATTTTTACAATGATATAATGATGAATGATGAGAATCGATGATATGATAATGTTGAGTAATACAACCATCAAAATATGGTTTAATTGAATCGATAATTGATTTCCAAGTAGACAGTTCTGCATTCATCGTAAGATTCATTTGATCACCAGAACGACAAGTCAAGTTTTCATAACGAAATGTGGGTGTGATAAAATCGCACAGTTGTTCATCATAACAAATATAATCAGGTTTAAGAGATAATGTAACATTAATATTGTCAATCTCTTTTGGATGATATAAGAATTTTACATGACCATAGAGTACAGGAATAACCGGAAATTGAAGAGGAAACTTGCAACTTTTTAACTGTTCGATAATCTTAGCAGATTGAATGAATTCATCACATGATATATTCTCAATTTTGTCCATAATTTTCGTAAGACAAACTATACTTATCCAACATTTGTATGATAAATTCCCTCTAACACTAATTGATTGAGTTAACGAAAGATGTCGATTATTTTTACATTGTCCATAATCTTCTACACATTGTTCATCAGCACACGAAAATTTGCCTTTATCAGGTCGACAAATATATTCTTGACATTCAAACAGATTGAAATTGAAATAAAATCTTTTACAGATAGGATCCGATAAATAATCCGATCTATCAAGACATTGCGCTTCATCAAAATCCATTTCCAAAAACATTTTTGGAATACACAATCCATTATGGCATCGATATTCATTTTCATTGCATTCATTAATTTCTAAATTGAAACATTGAATTTCATCAACAACACCATTAAGACAATCAATTCGACCATCGCATATCTCACGCCAATCAAGACACATCGATGATCCCCCACGATCACATTCTAAAAGAATATAACACGTTCCATTAAATATATTACCAGTTAAAGTTGTTTCAAAAGAATTTTGCACTAATTTATCTTCATCAAATTTCAATGAATATTGACAGCGTGATCCAAACCATGGCTGTGTACAATTAAAGAATTTTTCATTTGATAAATTAGATTGAGTTGGTTGATCAAGGTAATACTCATATTGCTCGGCAAGATCAATTGATGATGACCACAAGAGAATTTCATGTGATGTTATATTCAAACGGTATAATTCATCGAAAGTCATATAATCATCAGATATATTTAAAAATTCAACCATTATCGAAGTTGTATCATTTTTGGGACGAATACAATATTTGACTATTTCAGAAAATTTTGACTCAGTTGAAAAATAATGCAAACAATCAAATCCAAATTGATCGGTATCAAAAAAAATTGATTGTAAGCCGTTAAATGTCCATAGAAAAAATATTATATATAAAAACTTTGACATTGTTCAAATCTGCGCTTATATGATAATGATAACATAGTTAAATAAGAGATTTAACATAGAGCTCTCCTAACAAATATTGACAATTTGTCTAGCTGCATTTATAGCGTTTAGTATTAGGAGTATGATTTTTTCACTTTTTTTTCTCGATGTGACGTGCTTTGTCGCAATTAAATAAAAAAGCCATCTGATACTCATTTTTATTCTATTATGTGGGAATTATATATTGGTATTACTAAAATAAATAATACAATCACATATTTGAATAAATTCAGCTCAACTACGTGTAACTACTTAATTGGCTTCACTGTTATAACATTCTATTTTATTCAACATTAAAAAGACTTGACGCTGGACTTAGAAAAAAATGACCAGAATTTCTATATGAATTGGTCTTTATATCTATGTGAAATGATATTCTCGCTTTGTTCGTTTTATCTTCTATATATATAAAGAAGAATATCTGTTTGTTTGTTTGTTCGCTAGGTAAAATGGCGTTTCGCACCACCTCGTCATTCCGAACTCGCGTAGCGGTTGTCTCTTAC